CTTTGCTTGAGGTAATAATGTATTTCAATAAGTCTGTTGTTTTTAATAAATTGAACTGTATTTTATTTCTAATTTGCCATTATTTTCAAGGAAAATTAAGCTAGAAAGAACTGTTCAAACTGGTGAATGCATGTGTAGATCTTATTCTATAACACTGGCTAATAACACTAAATCCTTGAATTACTTTTAGAATTCCAGCATTTTATAACATTTTCGTAAAATAATTTCAGGCTGCATACTCACCACATCACTGCATGCCTGGAGAAGATTGACAAAACATATTTTTGTACTGTAATTGCTACAACAAAAGTACACTTTAGTTCCTTCTTTTGGTGGAAGATTTATTATTTGGATTACAGCAACTGTTTTCAAAGTGCTTCTGGAGGATGCTGGAGAACTCAAGAGACATAGAAACTCAGAAGACATAGCTTACATTCTGCTTGTATCGAATGCATTTTCCTAAGCACAGAATCTATCCATTTTCAGAAGTTCTGTGATGGAAACACACACATGTCTTGACAGTTAAGTCAATGAGAAAAGAGATCCCTGGACACAGAACGTATGACAAGTGCTGAATTAGACCATTCATAAATGTATTACTATTCTACATTTTCTAGTTCTAGCTATATATTTTTTTTTAAAAAATGGAACACAATAGATGGGAAATAGATTGAGATGGATCAATGATCAAATTTGGTTTGCAGGTTTAAGACAAACCTTTGTTATTTGAATGTGTAAAGTATTTAGGAGGGAAAAGAATACAATATAAAATATGCCAAAACAAACCAAATTAGTCCATAATAAACTCATCCAGCTTCTTAATAATCCCTTGCCACTGTCTCATCTTTCTTAGACTTGTGCAAATACCTTCCAATCTTTTTATTCAGATAAGTGTTAAAACAGACTGCATACAGTATTTCTGGCCATCATGGTTTTTTTGGTACTGTGTCCATAATGTAAATACTTTGTTCCTACCAGAAGAAAGGGGAAATCTGAGACAAGATAATGTGTCATGTTCAGAGCTTCTGGTACAAATCATCTGGCCTCACTGAATAGCTAGACTATGGCAAATTACTAAGGGCCCTGCTCTAGCTTCATCCCAGAAATTGTCCATCAGTGGATGAGAAACCTGAAGTATCAGAGAGAGGAACCAATATATTTATCTTTCCAGAAACCAGTTTTGGGCTAAACATTTCATTTCATGTTCTTCTCAATCCAGTCTTTGAAAGGAATTGCTCGGGTGTAGCCAGTGTAAAGTTCTAGGCTGCATGTTTTGTCATAGCCCCAGCTCACTAAACCCATGAGATGCCAAGTTAACTCGGGAGAAGATTTTCCTGGCAAAGGTATTGCTGCAATCCCTCCAGTCTCATATGGGCAGATGTTAGAAACTGCTGTTGGGTGCTGCTTGGCACAAAACATACTGTCAGTGACACTGACCTGGATTCCATGTTCCTCATATTGCTGCTCACACAGAAGAGAGTCCACTATCTGAACAGTCCCCCTACGAATTGTGTCGTTCTTGTAGTTTGGGTCTGTAACATCTGTCAGGATCTTCCAACCAGTGATGACTATTTGCAGATCATCTGTAGGAGGATCAATATCACGTATGGATGCCAGGCATATGGGTTGGACATGGCTGCTGATCTTGGCTTTGTCCAGGAGCTTAATGATAGCTATGTCAGAATCAAGCAATATAGGGTCGTAATTTGGGTGAACTATAATGGCTGAAATCTAGGAGAAATCCAGAACAGCAGTATAAGAATTCACATGTTATATATATTTTATCCTATTCATTTTTATATTGCATATGAAATTCCAAATCATCTCTAGCAGTCATTATTTTTCCTACTGACTGTTACCATTAGTTATAACAGCCTTCTTCAAGCCATGGATATCTTGGAATATAGCCATGGGAATTCCAGGAGTTGGGTTCCCAAGGCAATTGGAAAGCCTTGGATTGAGGAAGGTGGGTTGAGAATGATCTAACCGTAGGTTGCAGTATTAAATCAGAAATCAAAGGACTGCAAACCTGACAATACTCAAGTGTAGAGAATAAGGAAAATTACCTTGATGGAAAAATGCAGCATCTGTTGCCCAGGTAAAGGGGGTAAAGCATTTTTGAAGTCCAGAATAAGATAATATTCCAAAGTGACTTAAGCAGATGCTTCCCTAATTCACTGAGCTATGAGGAGGAGGCATAGAACAATCAGATTGCAAGAGTCTGTTTTTATAGCCAATCTCAATACAAGTAGTTTTAGCCTTTCTGGAGAGTTGATTTCCTGGTCTACCTATTGGGGCTGATGACATCAGTGGAATCTAGGTGTGATGGGAGTTTATTGACCCGTTTGTTTAAAATTTAATTAATTTGTCTGCTAGAGCCTTCAAAGCACTTTTTTTAATACAAGAAAAAAATTAATAAGAAATCAACAGTAAAGGTGAATATCGATCTTTGTTATCATAAACAATTGGCTACAGATACTCCCATCTCAGCCTATTAACTGCAATTAGTTCTAGTGACTTCAGTATGGCTTACTTCTAAGTGCCCAACCTGAGAGCTCCAGGCTGCAAGTAACCCCTTAGGCATGGCTAACCAGAAGCCTCTAAAAGTGGTTACCAAAATATAGTTTTAATGGAACAAGAAAGTAAAATTATTAAATACCCGAGTTGAAAGGGATCATAGGTACTGTGTTTAATTTCAGGGAAATAGAAATATCAATGAAGCTTAGTTGTTGTCTTTGTTTCATTCACTACTTTTTGGAGTGTAGCTCCCACCATGCCATTCTTAAGCCAGTGCAGCTCCCAGGCATAAGTAGCTGCATATCCCTTTTCAATTATTTATATCTATTGTAAAGCCTCCCCATCCACAGCGCGCGCACATGCACACACACACACGCAAAGTCCTTTCCTACACAGAGCTCAGGTTTACTTAAGGCCTTAGCACTTATCTACTCATCCCAAAGACTCAACTCACCCGTAGATTCTGTATGATCTTCTCATCTCTATCATCATCTCTGTAGAACTTGCCAAGAACAACTCTGATGTCTGCTGTTTTGAGAACAGTGACCTTCCCCAGATTGGTGACACAGTGTGCAGCCACAACCACCGTGCGTTCATTCAGCAAAGCCCCACTGCAAATCAGTATCCAAGTCCCTTTTCTGTGACTGGGAAACTTCACCCCATTAGGTCTCCGATAGATGGCTGCTTGCCATGGCCATCTGGTTGTGGATGACTTGTGAAGTGTAGTGTTTTCTATCTTCCCACAGACTGCCAAAAGGGGAGGGAGAAGAAAAATGTTTTTTAATTAATAAAACAAAGTATATAAAATCAATCTTATTAATAATTTATTAACAACTAAACAAAAGCTACCTGAGTCCAAGGCAAATTTTACCTTGCAGTCTAATTACACTATGTAAAATATATCTGTTGGCTTTCTAAATGCTATCCAATTCTATCCACCCAGCCTCCTTCCTGGATTTCTTTCTTTCTTTGGCAAATTGTGTATTATATTCTTAGCCTAATGAAATATTCAGGACTTCCCAAAACAGATTTTAAAGCCACATTTTAAGCCATGTTCTAAAAGATGAGAAAGCCTCTTTGAGCGTTTAGATAGAAAAATGGGATAGAAGCTTAACAATAAATAAAACAAAAAGATGGCCTTAGCTTTATTGAAGATAGGGGAAGTGGTCACATTAATGACAGAAAAGCCTACAGGTAGTCCTCAACTTACAACCACAATTGGGACCAGAATTTCTGTTGCTAAGCGATGCGGTCGTAAAGTGAGATGTCATGTGATTGCATCACTTAGCGATGGCAATCCCAGCAATCCCTGTTGCCATCATTAAGCAAATTTCACTGGTCGTCAGCCAAGGACCCACCCCAATCCAAGCCATTCCAGGCTTTGTCCCTCAGTAAGGTAAGGGACTGCCTCCAAATCCCCCCACCCGCCTATCTCCTCCATCTCTACCCTTTTGCTTGACCTGCACCCTGCCTTGCAGGGCAGCAAGCAGCCCCAGAACCACACAGCTCTAGGGCTACTTGCCACACCTTAGGAAGCCACAGCTTTCCCAGCCCAGTCCCAGCTGCAGTTGCCCTCACCACCATGCACTCCGAGACCCTGCCATACTGTGCTGTGCTGCCCCTGCTAACCTTCATCGTCTTCTTGCTTCCGCTGCTGACAAGGCATGCCCGGCCTGGCTGCTGTGTGGCCAAAAGGGCAGAGGTGGCCAAAAGGGCAGAAATGGGGAGATAGGTGGGTGGGGGAGCACCCCTATGGTTGTAAATGCGGGTAGGCTTCCAAGTGCCCAAATTTTGATCACATGACTGCGAGGGCACTGCAACAGCTGTAACTTTGGGGACCAGTCGTAAGTCCATTTTTTTCAGCACCGTCATAACTTTGAACAGTCACTGAATGAATGGTTGTAAGTCAAGGGCTACGTGTATTCTGTATATTTTATGGGTTGTCAAACTTCTAACCTCCAGGAAATAGAGCCTTTTTCCATTCTCATAGACAGTTTATTTGCATGATACTGTACAGACCAATATAAATGAATGTTTACACAATAAACTCATATATCCAGAGGGAAGAGAATTAGTAATCAAATTCTTAAGAATTAGTTATTATTTGTGTTTAACATTAATCCAGCCAGAGTTAATACCTTAAAATCCCATGATTTCTGTGTGAGAGGCAAGAACAAGCTTAAATGTCTCCTTTTTAAATCAATGAAAATTAAAGATGTTTAATCTTTGTTGAATTGGGCTCAATATTATTTTTGCTTATTAATATGTATGTTGATCAATGGTTATCTTCTGGTGAGTGATTCCTTCGGTTTGCCACAGTTGACACTCACTGCTGGTGAAACATTCTTATATTCATTAAAAAGAACCCTCAAATCTTTCCAAGTGCTGGAAAATTTGCAAAAATAATCAATCTGCCTCCCTTTCTTTTGAAAAAAATAGTGACATTTTGTGGAAATGACGACATCATCATCATCATCTGTCTCCAAGACAATGGAGATGAAGAAATACAAATTCTCTTTTTCTAAAACATTTGAAACTATAAATTCTAAGAATTGTAGCAGGAAGTGACATTCCTGTGTATTCCACTTAAGGATAAGGCCTGTTTTGGCCTCATTTCCAATCAACCTTCCCCAATGCCAATGACCTTTCCTTTTTCACAGGAACAAGCTTTTTTGCTTCCAAAATATGTTGGATTGGCAAAGAAGGCTTGTTAGCTGAGCAAAAAGTAAATCCCACTGAGAGAGTTGAATGGGCCTTGATCTGTCTCACAATTGGCTGAAGGTTTTTCGATTTCTATTCCTTTCAAATCTGAATGTTGTTGCTATTATTAATACATCCTTTCGGGTAAAGATCTTTGAGCAGTTATGTTCCTCCAGTTGAAGATCTTTGAAGGATATCCTCATGTTCTAAGTTGCATAAGGGAACACTGAATAGAAATAACAGAAGCAGCCCTCTGCTTCCCCCAAACTTGGAAGGAAGCAGTGTGTATTGGCTTGTGTGCATACTTAAATAATAGTTCTATTTCCTGGCCCACAAGTCGCATTCATCTACTTCATTTAAGAAAGCCTAATCACTGATTAGTTGCAAAGAGAAATCTTTGCAACTAATTGTATAACACGCCTCATCACAAAGAATTGTACATAAATTCCCTAGACTTGAACAATCTGTTCCTCAATCAATTTTCATTTAGAGACTGACAGGCCAAGGAGGAATGGTTAAAAGCATATGAAAAGCAATATTATCCTTTATATTGGCATGGCAGTGTTGCGTAATGTTGTATGTCTGATAAGCACAATCTTACTTGGAATGCACGAAGGGGCCCTCCCACTCCATTTCCCTGTTTTCAGACAGGTTCTTCGGCTGCTTCCCAGGCGATGGTAAAAAGGAGATATACAGTCATACTGCAGCTGTGTGTGAAGATGGTGGAAGCCTGGAGGCAATTCTCCAAATGGTAGTGAGGGTTTTTTGGTTGGATACGCCTCCAACTTCTGTTTGCTAAATCTGGATGAATAAAGTTGATGCAAGGGAGTCTCCCTGTTTGGTTTATAGAGAACATGGAATTATAACCAACAAGCCAAAACCTTTTTACAGTATTCACAGTATTAAGTAACAGTTTGGAATACAGTTAGTCCCAATTTAAGAATGAGTTCCATTCCCAAGGTCTGTCCTTAAGTCAAATTTGTATTAATCCAGAACAGTATTATTACAGAACTATACTGTATAAGTAGTATTGTGTAATTAACTCGAATCATTGTGTATTTAACTTGAATTTTGCTACAATAGGCTCTGTTCTTAACTATGCGTCGTCCTTAAACTGGGCATTCTTAACCAGGGGACTACCTGTAAAGCATTATTACAAATAAACTAACATTTTAGGTTATAATCCTGTGAAACTTTACAGCCCATGGGACCATTCCAGACTTTCTAGACTGTTAATAAAACTCAGTATCTTCCTCTCCAAATATGATTAAGGAAGGAGCAAGGTTTAATGGTAGAATATATAAGCAGGTAATTCCAACTTCAGTCCATTGTCTTTCCAGCTAGCCTGGTTGAGAAGAGGATGTGTCTGATGTCTTGGAGTTTCACTAGTAAAAATATACTTAGGCATATATACCAATAATCTGATTCACTTTACTTTCCAGGCTGACTTTAACAGACTTTAGACTATTTTGCAAAGTGAGTATGATCTCTTTTTGCAAAAGATTCATTGAAAAAAAAACAACACTGAAGCACTTGCCAAGTGATTGTTAATAACAGCAATGGAAACTAAGGAGAGAATGAATCTCTCTCTCTCTCAGTATGGAGAATATGAAAATAAATAGATAGATAAACAGACAGACAGATAGGAAAATGTTCTGAAATTTTTGCACAACACAAGATTTCTCATGGCATTTCAGCCCATCCTTGTATGTGGATAAATAAAGGGGAGGATTTTCTCACACATGCAACTCTCCCCTCTGTGCATATTTTTAATGTGCGGAAGCTATAATAAAGCATAACTGAATCTAAAAAAAAAATTACACAATGCTAGGAATTTTAGAATTGCAGAGAGCAGCTCTTGTGTTATGCTTATATAATTTAGTACTACAGTACTGCATACCTTTCATGTAATAACTGTTCAAATATGTGTTCTTAATTTAGGAAAATGCTAGTTTTGTTCCTTGCTGTGTTTATGCTGCTTTTGATGAGATATTTATTTATATCTAATTATGCTAAGGTCAGCATTCTAATATCAAAAAGTAAAATCTCCCTCAAATCAAGGTTGACTCAAACTGATTTCATGGATATGCCCATAATTTTTTCTTGGCAACAATATGGAAGTAGCAATAATTGACATCCTAGTCTAGCCTATAACCTGGTCCTTCATTCAAGTACTCATGATGTTCTGCTTAGCTTGCTAGATCAGTCAAGGCTAGCTAAGTGTTATACTAAACAAATAAGTGCTGAGGTTTGGAAAGAAGATTTATATTTTGGATAAGCCCCAGTAGAGATCAGACAAATGGGACTTTGTACAAAAAGATGGAATAGCTCATTATTCTACAGGATGACATAGATGTCAGTTCTTACTATGATACCAAAATGATGAAATGTGCATAGTGATATCATGATACAAGTTTTGCCATTTGCTGTTTTGTTGCAATGTCACACCCAAGAATATAAGGGGCAGAGGTTTCATAACAACTTCATGACATACATTTTGTCATTTACCACCCCTCCCCCTGCAGATGCCTATGTGTGATGAGTTCATGAATATCTTCCATTCTGTGTAATCACTGGAGCAGCAAGAGTTATACGGTACTTATTTTGACTGTTCTTATCACACCTGTCTTGAAGCTTCCATAGACAATTTTTCTTTCTTATCTTTCCATAAATTAAGATTTGCTCATCTGTGTCTGTAGTCCATTATAATGTACTGGGATAGACTGTCAGAAATTGCATTAAATGTTACATCAGCTAATATAATTGCTTGTGGGTGTTTATATATTATCTCTTGGGTGACCATGCTGGCTTATAAATTTCCACCTAATAGACTTCTACCAAATTAGCAATTTTTATTTCCAGAATAACTGGTCCAGTTTATGCATTTTTTTCCCAGATAATGTTTGCACAACCAGGCACAGAGGCACAAGGACAAGCAACAGCATTTTTCATTAACATAAGGCATTGCAATCTTACCTTGACTGTACTTGTATTGGGAGTACTTTCTGTCTCACCAGGTCAGAGATCTTTGGTTCTCTGCAGGCTAAAAAAAAAAAAATACTATACAATGTTGCACAATCCTTTTTCATGTTCCAAGCTCAAATTTATGGTTTGTATCTCTATCCATCCTTTCCTGGCACTAACAGAAATAAATTAAGATGAAGAACAAGCAGTTTGTTAAAAGATAGCTACTGCATAGGTTTTTTAAGGGTAATTTTTATTTGTTTTCTTAAAATATTGCAAATAAGCCTAAGATTTAGATGGCTGCATTTCACAAACCACTGAAATGATGCAATCCACTGCTTCTCTACTCAGAAGTTCCACATATCTCAGTTGGAACTGCATAATTATACCCTACTTTTACCTAATTACAGCCTGGTAGTAATCATGCAACTGGTCCATAGATCATACATGTCCACTATTAGGAGGAAGAGTATTAGAGAGACCCTGTTATATTTTGGATGAGACATGAGGTCATTAATAGTCCCACAAACTTCATTCCTTCCTTCTCAAATTTGATTTCTATCTTCACATTTCATGCTTAATAAATGAGAGCAGAAACAGATAATAGATGAACCATTATGAAATTAAGAATTAAACACAATATTAATTCATTTTAATGCAAGACCAGCCACTATATGGTTGTGAAAGATTTCAACATTGTATTTATTAGATTTCTATCTTGGGTCTGCTTGAGGAGCTCAAGTGGCCTAAAGTTAATATCAAGAAAAATAGGGTAGTAATGAGTATCTATAGAGAGGCAAGGGGGGAGGGGCAGTGGCAAAACATGTGGGGTGACATGACTCAAACTCTGTCCTCTTGTACTTGCATCATCATGATAGATCTAGTGTCAGGATGTCACAACACACATCTTGTCATTTTGATCCTGGTTTGCTATACATGCCCCTGAGGGTAGTAGTTCTGACATGATTATGCAAAATTATAGAAGGAATAGTCCATATCAATCTGAAAACTAGAGTTGAAATGGTTATCCATTTTTATGCCATATGCTATTTCATTGACGTTTTTCAACTGTTTTTATTTTCCTCCCCATTTTCATAGAAATTATCTAGACTCTTCCAAAAAATAAAGATTTCGGCCGCCTCCAACCTGTTTAATATCAAACCTATGAAAATGTGAATTAGAGCCTGAATCTGCAGTTGGTTACTGTCCTAGTTTCTATAATCAAGAAAAGTTTTTCTGTACGTCCAGCTTTAGCTTAATAATTCCTTAAATCAGCTCCTCCAGTAAGTCAGAGGGGGAAAAAAAAGTATCATTATGATGAGGCCGATGAAGCATTAGGCCCCACTTCTATACAATAGGACAGTTTTCTTAACTTCTTTGGCCTGATGGGGACATTCACAATTTTGAGCACAAGTTGTAGTAGTTTTTGAAAAATAGCTGCTAAGTTGCCTTGTCTATTCCACAAATTGCTGCCAGGGGAGATAGAGTGCAAAGCCCAGATTCTCCACTTTTTCTTACTATTGGCTCCCTCCCTTTTTTTTCTGGCTAGTTTCTCCTCCTTGGTTAGTTCCCCAGTCTGGACTGGCTGTAAAGAAGTGTTCCTTAAAACCTAGTTTGGATCAGGGAATTGATTGCTGCAGATCATTACACCTCCATATTATATTATATTATATTATATTATATTATATTATATTATATTATATTATATTATATTATATTATATTATATTATATTATATTATAGTTTAGCCAAGACTTTTTTTCTGGGCAGGTAGACATATTTATCAGCAAAGCTGCACAGTGCTTTCAAGGCATTTTGGGAAATAAAGATGATAATGAAGGGCAGCGCTTTGTTTTGTAGTGTATCAGCTTTTCATTTTTAATTTCTTTTGAAATAAGAAGACAAATGGGGTAGAAAGCTGGGCAGGAGCCAAGCAAGTTTTCCATGGGGATAATTGTTAGAGAACCCAGAACCAGCAGTAGACAATCAGGTACTTTCCAGATAATTGGATTCTAACTTTAATAAGCTCTACTCAATTTAGTTTATTGTCAGAGATTATAAAGAGGACTGGAAAAATTACCTGCCTGTGTATCAGGTGCCAATAGTCCTGGCATTCGCATTTGTTAGAATGCAGCTTATAATATGCATACAACAAGTTGGCGATCTATTTGGGTTGCTGGGCATATGTAAAATTTGGAGAATGTGTCACTGATGCTCTTAGAAAATGATTGCCATGGGTGGAATTTACCCTACCTATGACAATTATTTTGAATGGTACTCAGAATCCTTTTTTAAGAAGGTAAATGGGTGCAATTGTTCACTGCCATCCCTCCTCATCTTCTAAGATGTTCACAACCAACTCCAGGTAACCACTGTTTTTTTTTTCTTGGCAAACCAGTTTATCAGTAAATGTCTGTGGGGGCAAAGTTTGGATCCAGATCTATACTTGAATAGAGAGGAGGTGCGAGAGATTATCAATGTATTTTATAGCAGTCCAGCTTCCTGCTAATTTGTTGTTAATTAAAGGAGTATGAAAGGAATTAGATGGGGTAGGTGGGAATCAACAGAGGTTCCATGGGTACAATAGGCACCATAGTATATAGATAAAAAAGCATTACAAGTATTAAGTTGAAGTGATGTTATCAATTACCTTTTATACAGATTGGCTGTTTCCCTGACCATTCGCCATTGTCTTTGCAGGTCCTCTTTTCATTACCACTGAGCGTATAGGTATTATTGCAAAAGAATGTAATTACTGTTCCAATTTTTGCATAATGACCATTAACCAGGGCAGTATCATCCATCAGTTTCCTGTACCCATTGAATGGAGCACCAGGATCAGAGCAGTTTCTGTCTTCCATGACTAGTAATACAAATGGTTGTTGTTGTTGTTATCCAAAGTAGAATGTTTTGTTGAACATCACATAATTCAATCCTTTACTAATCAAAAAATACAATCAACTTTTCTTTTGTCATTAAACTTAAATTAGGCATTTAACACTAAACCAATCAGCCATTAGATCTGTTAAAATGTCTCTGCATTCACATTAGTACAAAGAAGCTACTTTCAAGCTTTTGTTCTCTTGGATCATCATATTCTAGATGTTATTTTTATTTATTTAATTTATTTCTACACTATTGTTCCTCCAATAGGTGAACTCCAAATCTATGTTGTGATATTTTTTACTAATTAATTCTTTGCTGCAGTTTTAATCTATAGTTTTGGATTTTTTAGTAATAATTTTAGAACGTTTGGACTGTGTGGTGCCTTAAGAAAGCCCGCTTTGAAAAGGAGGCTACAAATCCTATATTTACTAAACAAATAAATACATATACCTGTGTTTCATTTTGAAAATGAAAATGTTGCCTGAACTTAGGAACAAATTTTCTATTCGTTCATCCATCAAATTGCAATAATCATAAAGCACTCATTCTATTTAATACTGTTTGACTAAGATTTAATTTAACTTGAATTGAGGAAAGCTGAGGAGAACAAGGGGAAAAAACACACACATTTGCCATATCCTAGATCCAAAGGTCTCCCTTCTGTCCATACAGAGAGCCCTTCTGTGGATACATGGACCTTTGATCCAGAAGGCTGATAGGCTGCAATGTCTTTCTGCTTCCTGCCCACACAGGCAAGGCTCAACAGCAGGTGCCTCTCCTAGCCATCAAAACTAGAAGCCAATGCCTGCAAAAGGGAGGCTTTTCCATAGAGTACCATGAATATCAATGTAAGATTTATCAAAATTAAATTTTATGCCAGACCACCAATATGTTAATTTCAAAATACATTTTTGCTGTTTATTTGCTTAGTAATTTCTGGAAAATAAAAAAATTGAAGCAGGGGAAGAAAGATAAAGAATCCTTACCACATCCAGGATGGTGTGTGGACCAGCTCCCGTTTAGTTGACAGTAAGCAACGTGGCTGCCTTTTAAGATATAACCTGTGTTGCATTTGAAGTAAACCTGGGACCCGTATTTAAAGTCATCTCCTTCCACAAAACCATGAGCAGGATTACCTGGAGTCCTACACATCACCACTGACAGTTCAGATATTTCAAAAAAATCCACTTTATTACAAAAACAGGACTGTTTTAGGATTAGTAAGGTCTTTAAAACATTACAGTATAAGAGTTACAAGAGACAAACAAAAATAAGAAAATGAAACTAATACAGACAACTAAAAAGTGTTCCATAGGTGCTGTCGTGTTTTTCATATTTTGATAGGTCATTGTATCAGGACATGACTGAAAGCATAAATATGCCAGTATGTGCATAAGTGTCTGCAGGGAAGGTGATGGGAAATGATGAAATGTGTATCAGAATGTCACACTGCAAACCTTGTAGCTTATGTACTTACAGTATGTATATATTGCCATGTTTATTCCAGCCAAAACACTTGAATGGCAAAGTACAGATGTAATCAAAAGGTTTGGCATAAAATAAAACAGCTTGATAGATAAAATAGGCTGATATTTCATAAAACATTAAAAAACTCAAACTTATTAATGTATTAATAAAGACCTTGTTTTTATGTACTTGTATACATTAGGATGCAAGTACAAGTAGTCCTCATTTAGTGACTGGTTTGGACAGTGACTGTTTGCAATTATGATCATGATAAAAAAGCAACTTTGCAACCAATCCCTGCATTTAAAATCTTTGCAGCATCTCTCTCTCTCAATCATGTGTTCGCCATTACAGTCAGTTAGTATGGTATCACCCTGTCCTGTGTCTGACCCATTTCCCCTCCCCCCACTGCAGAGCAGAGAGATTGCCTAAACAAGCTATCTTTTCCTGAGCTGCTTTTCTCTGCTGCACAGTACTTCCCTAAAAAGTGCTAACCACAGTTAACAAGCTCAGCTCTGTAACCTTAATTAGTTGATTTGAACCCTCCAGCTTGTAGCCGCTGCCTGAAACTGGCAAGACCCTAATCAGTTTCACATTAAAGGCTTTCTTTTGCCTCCTGTGGCTTGTGCTGAGCCGGCGAGGAAAACATCCAGCACTAGTGCATTCCTTTTGAAATATGTTCCCCATTATGTGCCTGCTTACTCTCTTATTATCCCTTCCTCTCCAATGAATGTAAATACAAGCATCAATTCTCTTCTTGCTAATTATCCCAGCGCTGGGGTGAGCATTCCAAAGGACAGGGGAGTGGGGAAAAAGGGCTATATAATTTGCCCTTTTACCTGGCTTCCTTATGAGTTGAGTTCCAGAAACCTTCACCATTTGGGCTCACCTGGCTGTTTGGGGTTGTATCCTTCTGAGGCTGTAAGTATATTCAGGGACAATTTCTTAATAAATCTTTTTCAAGATTTATTACCATCCTGGCATATCCTTTAGTGTTCTTGTTCTTTGGTATCTGTCCTGCAAATTCTAAATTAAGTGTCAACATACAGATTAATGGCAACATGTGCATAACCTGCTCTTATTTTCACTTATTTACCCCATATCAAGATGTCCTCAAAGAGAAAGAGAGAGCCTCAGTTCAGCTGGAGGAAGTAGCAAGAAGCAGAGGAAAGCTGAAGTAAAATCATAAGCACAGTCGTGGTTACATGATTTTCACTTAGTGACTGCTTCGCTGAATGACCAAGTCATGAGAACCAATTGCAGTTGCTAAACAAAGACTACCTATAGAAAAATAGAGTTTGCATCATGACAAATGTTCCCTCATTTTTTCGTTACTGAGATTTGAACCAGATGCCTATGAGTATGTGGGTAACCAAGCTATTACTTGTACCATGGTTCTCTTTCTCTACTCAGAGATTTCAGTTAAATGCCAGGTACCCCAACAGTAGCAGAGATTTAAAAAAAAGTGAATTACTTATTAGATTATTATATGATAGTGATCATATCCCTGAGATTCAAAAACTAACTTCTGCAGTTAAATGAATCTTTGAGGTGATTTAGAAAAAGTGGGGTTCTTCTCCCTCTCTTTGATTTTTGTATACATTCTGCTCCCATGAAAACTGGTGAGATTTAAACACTTCCCTTTGATTGTATGGTATATAGAATATGAAATAGTGAATGACCAGGGGCTTCAAATTATTCAAGTAATCTTTCCTTTGTTAAGCTAAAACATCCCAGTGACAGATGATGGAGCAACCACATGCCAGAAATAGTTTTCAGCACAGTACACTGAGCTAAGGCATTGTTCTGTTGCCCTATTAAAACATTGTATAATAAGTAGAATCTTCACCATGACATATGAAAGATTATGACCTGGAATGTAAGTGATGTAATATAAATTGTAGAGAGTATGAGTTAACAAAGGAATGGAAGGAAATATAGATACGCTATTTATCTATGAATCTTAATAGAAAGAGGAGGGATGTAGTAGGTTTGAATAAAGGTAGTCTGATTATTCTGTTAGGTTACATGAACAAATGGGTGGAACAAGTTGAGAGAGTACAGAAAAAGTGATTGGGCCATTTGGAGACCCACAATGAATGAAAATGGTGACTGGTGACTATCTGTTTAGAAAAAGGTCTGCCTGTTTCAAGCACATGGCTTAACTATAACTCTATTCATTCTATTCATACACACATACACACACACAAAGAACAAATATAAATCTAAAAGTGTTATTGTTTTGATCATGATGTAATATTGGAATAATTGGTAAAGATTGCAAGAGTCATGAAAGGGTCTGAATTTGGGACAAACCAGGTTTTGGTAGCAGTACAAGAGGTTCTTGGGAGAAAACGGACACTGAACGAAAAAAGAGAAACCAGAGTGAAATTTTTCTTTCTTGCAGTAAGAAAAAGTACAAGTCCTGTACAGAAAGATATTAGAAGATGCAATAAGCACCTATGGAAGCTGCTTGAGACGAAGTGAACATATTTTTACCACACAGTGCCATAGAACTAACTGGAAGTATGAGAAAGGATGCTTAGAGGAATGATGAAGTGAAAGAGGCTGTGGGTGAGAAAAGAATGCATGTCAGAAACTAATTGGTGCAAAAATGAGGATATGTATAATGTATATAAAAGATAGCTTTCAAATAATGTACTCAAAGAGAGCAAGGAATTATTAAGATTTAAAAAGGCAGGGAAAATGCAGAGTGAATGGAATTCCACACAGTGACTGAAATGAAAAAACAGTGAAATTATTTGGGATTAAATTGAAGTGAAAGAATACTGGAATAAGTATTTTAGATATTTATATGGAAATAACAGTACTATGTCTCCGAGCAGAATTCAAACATGATACATGGCTTTATGAGTTTGTGTGCATGCATCTTTGAGTCAGGAATTTGGTGCATGTATGTTCAAGTCAGTCTTGACTCCTGGCAACAACATGGACAAGTCCAAAAGCAGTTTTCTGGACAATAATTTTCAGCAGTGGCTTGCCCTTGCCTACTTCCTCAGGCTATGACAGAATCTGGCTCAAAAACACACAGCCAGATTTGTGTCTAAGGCAGAATTAGAACTCAAAGCCTTCTAGCTTCCAGTCCAGTGGTTTTAACCACTGCACCTTGTTAATGTTCAAGAAAAAATGATGAAGTGGAAGTCATGAATGCTGTGAGGATGTTTAAAATATAGTAAGACTGTAAGTAGAGATGGTACAAGTGGAGAAATGTTAAAATATGGATGTGGTTTACTTACAGAGTTTCTGTATGAGTTGTTTAGTATGTGTGTGAAGCCTGTAGTTGTGCCTGACATTCGGAAAAATGATGTTATTGTTCCCTATACAAAGGGAATGGTAGCAAGAATTAATGCAAAAGCTACAGGGGGATTAAGTATGCCTGGAAACAACTTTCATAGAATTGTGATCAAAAGAGTACAAGAGTACAAGTACAATCAGCAAAATTTGGGAAGGGAAGCACAGCTTTATGGAAGCAGACCAGACTTTTGCTTTTCAGCAGATTACTGAGAAATATATGAATTTGAGAAAGAAAGCTTATTATATGTTTGTTGTTTTAGAGAAAGTGTATGATGAAATGAACAGGCTTGAATTATGGGGTGTTTTCTGAAATATGGAATAGAAAGTTGTTGCTGAATGTGAAAAGAGTGGTATATGATAAAAGTAAATATGCATGAAAACAAAAGAAATACTAAGCAAATGCTTCAGCGTTGAGCAGAGTGTAAGATGTGTGATGGGCATTTGCATTTATAGGTAAACTTGAATGGGAATAGTACATGTGTTGGTTGGGGCAGGTGTGTGTGTGTGAGTATGTAGGTATATGTGTGAAAACCCAACTTATTTGTAGCAAATGTTATATAATGCAGTGAGGAGCAGGTATCTGAAAATTACTGTATCAAGACCAAGGTAGTTGTGTTTGACATGTAAAATGGAGTAAGCAATTGAAAGTTATACATACTTTGTGAAAAATTAGAGAAAGTAGGTGAATCTGTGTATCTTGATAGAAGGTTCACTAAAGAATGGAAATAGATGAAGAAATTTTAAAATGTGCAAATGCTGATAGGTTACAGGTAGTGTGTGGTCTGTTGTGATGAATGAATGTTAGTCTAAAGAACTAAAATTGTTGTGTATGAGTGTGTGCTACTTCCAACTTTCTATGTGAAAGTTGCATAAGTCAGGAGAAACATAAAAATTGAGTGCAGTATGCATGTTATTTAAGAAAACAAAAATAAGTATGGTCAGGAATGAATAGGTGCTTATTGAAGAAAGATTACCGACAAAAGTGAGTAAGTAGTACAAAAGAAGTACTTGAGGTGGTTAGACTGAATGAGGACAGAATCACCAAACAAACATCTGAAGAAAAACTGAATAGATGAAGAGGAAAGGGAAGACTGAGAAAGTTGTGGTTAGAGTTGATGAGATCTTCAACAAGAGAGAGGCTAGAAGTTTAAAGAATAAAAAGCAGGATATGAAAACTTGGTAGAAGGTCAGAAAAATATGGGAGGGCATGGTGAATGGGATTGGGGTAAACTTTTCTCAGCTCATGGTCTTAATTCCTTTAGTTTGCTATTTCTTACCCCTTTTCTGCACTTTGGTAGTGTTATTCTTTTCATAGCTTGTGTTGGTTGTGCTGTAGTGGGTTGAGTGATCAAGCACTTTTTGATAAAGTTGTGTG